CAAAAACATGTTTCAATAAATAATCATCCGTACTAGTTGACCTTACTTACGTGATCAACTCGGCGAGCATTTCTCCACCAAACGGCACCGTACTTGGCCAAGGAAGAGCTCCGATTCTACGAGAAAGGGAACACGGTCTTCCACGACCGTTGCCGCTCTCCCTCGTAAAATCAAAGCTCCTCCTTGACGTCCGTTACCGCTCGGCCGAGAACATGCTCGCCAACCTGAACACGGTCCGCAAGTTCAACTAGTATGGATTTTCTACAATTTTCTAACCATTTTCTAAGTTTTTCATTTCATGGAAAATTTAATTCTAAAAAATAAAAGGCATGATTTCTAAGTATTTCATTTCATGGAAAAAATAATTCTAAGTGACCTGCTCGATATCGGCGAGCTCGTGAGCGTTTAGGTTGCCGAGGATAGTAACATTTGTAGATGACATTTGTAGGTATGAAGTTATCAAATATCCATCAAATTATAGCTCAAAAACATGTTTCAATAAATAACCATCCGTACTAGTTGACCTTGCTTACATGATCATCTCGCGAGCATTTCTCCACCGGACGGCACCGTACTTGGCCAAGGAAGAGCTCCGATTCTACGAGAAAGGGAACACGGTCTTCCACAACCGTTGCCGCTCTCCCTCGTAGAATCAAAGCTCCTCCTTGACGTTCGTTACCGCTCGACAGAGAACATACTCGCCGAGATAAACACGGTCCGCAAGTTCAATTAGTACGGATTTTCTACAATTTTCTAACCATTTTCTAAGTTTTTCATTTCATGAAAAATTTAATTTAAAAAATAAAAGGCATGATTTCTAAGTATTTCATTTCATGGAAAAAAATAATTCTAAGTGACCTGCTCGATATCGGCGAGTTCGTGGGCGTTTAGGTTGCCGAGGATAGTAATATTTGTAGATGACATTTGTAGGTCTGAAGTTATCAAATATTCATCAAATTATAGCTCAAAAACATGTTTCAATAAATAACCATTCGTACTAGTTGACTTTGCTTACGTGATCATCTCGCGAGCATTTCTCCACCGGACGGTACCATATTTGGCCAAGGAAGAGCTCCGATTCTACGAGAAAGGGAACACGGTCTTCCACGACCGTTGCCGCTCTCCCTCGTAGAATCAAAGCTCCTCCTTGACGTCCGTTACCGCTCGGCAGAGAACATGCTCGCCGAGATGAACACGGTCCGTAAGTTCAACTAGTACGGATTTTCTATAATTTTCTAACAATTTTCTAAGTTTTTCATTTCATGGAAAAATTAATTCTAAGATCACGTAAGCCACCAGGGACGAGGATGGCGCGTGCTCCAGCGAGGACGAGCGAGGTATGATTTTGATGAACTAATTTAACTTTTGTTTATCCAAACATATATGCAAATCATCATGTGATTTTAAACTAAAAATGACATATAAAATCATAATAAAGTCCAACATATAAAGTTACACATGCATCTACATCGCAAAATGAGATAAGCTACTGACAAAACATAAGAGGATTAAGTTTGTTACCTCCAAAATCGAAGAGCAACACCAATGGAGGGGGGAGAGCAAGAACAACAGCAAGCTGAAGAACAGAGACAGTGAGTTTGAATGGAATGGCTCGGGCTCGGGGAGGAAGAAATGAGCTGAATTATAGGCCAGGATAATTAGTCCCGGTTAGGTGTCCAAACCGGGACTAAAGATTAATCTTTATTCTCGGGGCATCACCCAAACCGGGACTAAAGATCCCTGCCCCGCGGACGACCGTTGGGCTGGGACCTTTAGTCTCGGGGGAAAAAAATGCCGAGGTTAATGCTAAATTGAGACATCGTTCTAAAGTCTGTTCTCTAGTAGTGCTAGTTATAAGTATATTAATCAAATTAATATTTAACAAATATACGGAAAAACATTTTACATGAAAAACGGTGGCACTAGCATACAGATTACGTGGATACAAATCTAACACAACTTGAACTACTTGAAACGGAGATTAAAGGAGTAAATGACGGAGATATAATGAACCGGTGGCAAAACCGTGAATACTTCATCTTGTATTCATCTTCCACGGGAACGTGGCATGGCTGACTGTTGCTACTGTACTTCGCGTGGGAGGAAGGGGCCTCAGCCTGGGAGCTAGAGACGGCCGGGCTAGGCAGGGCGGCAGCGCGCGGCGCGCTTGGCCCGTGCTCGCGGCTGCAGCACGCAAAGCCATGGCCGAGCGGCCACAGGCGGCGGCGGCACTGCTGCTCCACGCAGGGGCGCATGAAGGGCGACAGGGCCGTGGGCTCCGGGCAACGGCGCGGAGTGGGTCCGGGGCTGGAGCACAGGGCATGGCCCGGACACGAGGCGACGGCCGGAGTTCGTCAGAAAACGGAGAACTCGAACGTCGTGTATGGAAGAGCTCACCGGAAAAAGAGAGGAAACATGGCAAACGGTCAAACGGGCACGGATTCGCTCAACCAAGTATATCTGACGTAGAGGACGAAGACGGTTTTTCCGGAAAAGCTTGTCTGAAAGTTCACCATCTAGTTGTGGTTTTGAGGTAGGAGGCTAGGGTGATGGCTGCGAAAACGGTTTGTACTCCTGAAAAGATCGCGTCAAGGAGAGCGCCCGGGCGCGCGCGCACACACATATATATATATATATATATATATATATATATATATATATATATATATATATATATATATATATATAAAAGGTGGGTAAAAAAATATGATATTTTGTTATTTTAAAAATTAATTAATTTCACGAATAAAATAATTTTAGAAAAGTTTAGAATTGATACTTAAGCCGCGAAGAATACTTCAAAAGCTCTAAAAATTTGGGGTAATTCTTAGAGATATTTTGGAATATGAGGAATCCAAATAAAGTACTTGAAGATCATGAAAATATATTCTGGAGCATCTAAAAATTAGATTATGCTCGTCGAAATGAGGGAAAAAGTTCTAACAAAAGCTGAAATATTTCCCGGGAAGTTTGTAGAGATAAGTTAATGGATTATGAGCACAAAGGAGTGATTTGGAGCTGATGAAAATGATTTTGGGAAGGTTCAATAAAATAATTAAGCTAGGAAACAAGGAACTTGATTATAGGAAAAAGACAAGGACAAGTCAGAGAAAGGACTTACTAAACGCATATCGAAAATTTTACATGCTCACAACACACAAAGTCAAACAACAAGCAAACATCGCATCACATAAAGCCCATCAAAAATAATATTGAAAAGATTGAAACCATAGTTTTTGATATTTAAATTAGCAGAAACTTAATTAATCTTGAAAAAATATACAAACATTGAAATCATTTATTTTATCTAGTATTTTCCATGCACAATCCAAAATCGAAAATTTTGGGGTGTGACACCCTCACCCGATTCAAGTGCCCCAACCAGATTTGTATGCTCCTTGCTTGGGCAATGGTGGAGGGGAGGAGGCTAAGGGGGCAATGCGCCACTAGGTGATGGCCGTTTCTTAGGCGTTTATGTAGTAGTGGAAGCCATCCAAGGAGTCCATATCACCATGAAGATTGGATCTTCACTGCCGGTGCTGACCACCGCCCTAGCATGATAGATCTAGCCTATGAGAAAGAGTGTGAGGACGGGGGAGAACTGGGAGGAAGGGGGAGCGAGGATATATATACCATCCACTTACCTCCACTTCATCTCTGTCATAGAGTAAGGGACATGTAACATTATTGGTTTGGCGTTTAGGATTATCCGAACTCAATCTTGTGAAATCTACCTTCACTAATATAGTGTATTATATAGATTTTATGGGACAAACTAAAAGAGAATAATGAGACACATATACGCTTCATTTCCTAATCAGACGCTATCATTTGTATAATTAATGGAGATTAGTTGACAAATGACAAGTAATGATATAACACCTACTAAATTTGTACTCCTATTTTAACACAAAACTATCTGTTGTCATCTTCGATTTTTATGTGCCTGAAATTACAATTACAGGGCCAAATACTTTTTATTATACTAGGATAATGCTAGTGCATTGCAACGGTAAAAAATAATGCTATGATAATTTTAATTTGGAACATATGTTGTATTATTATAAAATGGTACTTTGAATGTGATTTTCATGACATTCCATTTGTAGCCAATCATCAATATTATATGAGTTCACACACAAAACATGAATAATTAGAATGTGCCAGTGTGTTGCAATATGAGCCGAAAATTTATCACTAGATAACATGTCTTATGGATCAGTGTCAAATTGCCCAAGCAGGCCACATTAACAGTGAGGATCGATGTCTCCCTCATTGCTCACCATATGATCATACCCGTGCCTTGCAACCGGAAAAAAATCACATTGTGTTGTACTATTACCAAAAAGGTAGATTAAACACAAAACGTACTCTATGTAACCTGAGTACCAGAGAAATTATAGCAGTTTCGGATGTCATTCTGAATCAAAATCCACACACAGATAATCAATATTTACAGAGAGGCGGGGCCTCACTGAACGCGACTGATCTGAGGTTTATGCCGAAAGGAGGAGAAGGTGACAGAGCAGGCGACTTCGACTCCGGTGAGCGGTGGCGCCATTCCTTCCGGTGATCCACGATTAAAAGTAGGAGACTCGCTGCAGGGCACGACGGCGCATCTCTTCACCGCGGTACTTTTCCATTTTCTCTCTCAGTCGAGCGGGTCCGGCGAGGTTTTGGTGCAGAGTTTTTCTGGTTTGCCGAGTTTCCACAAGTTTCAGCCGAGGTGTTCATTGCATGGATCATCGGAGGTTTACTCTCGCTTTTCCTGGTGGGGGGATTCGTCGGAGGCGAGGAGATGGGGCTCCAGTGCCGTTTCAGATTCAGTTGGTCATTTCTCCCAGCCTCACCCCCTACGGACCAAATGTGATCGCAATCAGGAGAAAAAGCATAAGGAGGAGGAGATTAAGAGAGGTTTGTTTACATCCCCGAAGTTGAAGTGCATAGAGGATTCGGAGCTACAGGAATCGGCAGATGCGCTGGAGGCCGCCATTGCCAGGATGCCCACCTTCAGTTGGGCGGGAAGGTGGGAGGTTGAAGATGAGAGAGGGACAGGCTCTAATGGGCCACCAGTTGGGCCGACCCAAGAAGAACAAGGGTTGTCTATTACTGATCTATTCTCTCACTCGTACACACTGCCGTCGCCCCCAAACTCCTCCAGATGGCTCTGGGTCAGGCCACTGCTCTGGGTTCCGAAGGATAGGGTGTTGTCAGCGCCGACGGCTGGCTACCCGGCGACCAAGGAAGAGGTCCAGTGATTCGGAGGAGGCGCCCGTAAGATAGCTCCAGTGGAGGTAAAACTCATCGATTCTCGCTCCTTCGCGAAGTTGCCGGGATGGATTGGAGGGAGGGCTACTAGTAGAGGTGGGAGTAGAGGTGGGTGTTTTTAGAGAGATGGTCCAGGTCGAGATGGATGGCGTGGGAGGTGGTGGTTTCAGGGATGACGACAGGAATCGCAACTAGTACCCAAGACGCTATGATGACAGAGATGGTGGATACAGAGGTTTTGATAGAGGTGAGGGTTACTATGAGGATGACAGAAATGGAGGGAGAGGTTTCAAGCGCAAGAATGATGGTGTTGAAGATCATCGTCTCAACGAAGAGGATCTGCGCCACAGGCTCATGAGGGATCAGGAAGAGAGAGGTGGGGGCTGGGACAGCAGGCCATCAAAAGAGAGGTGTTTTCGCCGTGGGGAGAAAGGACATCATAGATCCCGCTGTACTAATCCTCCTCTCTACTACCACTGTAAGGATTGTGGTCATATGGCGCCGAATTGTCCATACAAGGAAAGCAAAGGCTTGAAGCTTTGTTCATACAGGTTCCCAAGACAGACGTTTTACAGTCTTCACATCCCAATTGAGGAGGAATATGCAGCTAAGAGTCCAATTAGTGCAACCATGAAGATCATTGATGGGAAAGCATTTGTGTCCAAGGTCACCACTGAGCTTAAATATGTCATCAACTCAGCCTGGGAATGGCAGGTGAAGAAAATTGCTTCTGATGAGTATATGTTCGTGGTTCCATCTGCAAAAGACCTTGATTTCCTTACCAGGCTCCAAGAATTGAAATGCAAGATCAATGATATAACAGCATCAGTTCATAAATCTGATTTTATGGCTGGCTGCTGTGACCTACTATCTCAAGTTTTGGTTCAAGTGTGTGGTATTCCTTTCTGGGCTAGAAAGGAGAAGGCAGTGGAAGAGGTGGCTTATCTAGTTGGAGATTTTATAGAGGTGGACAAGAAATCTTTACCTGGTCTGGGGCCTATTAGATTTAAAGTGGCAAGTAAAGACCCATCAGCCATCAGAGGGACTTCTAAAGTCTATTTCAATGGCAGAAGTTTCTACCTAAGTTGGAACCTATAATCTGATAAAAATGACAAGACAGAGATGCCTACAGATGGACCTAGGAAGAAGAAGGAAGATGATGATACCTGGGAAGATGATGAGGAGGAGGAATCTGACAACTATGACATTTTTGCTGATAATAGCAAATCTCAGCAAGCTCACTCCAAGGAAGTCCCTGAATCAAGCAAGCAAGGAGAACAGAGAGGAGGCAAGAAACAATGTGGAGAAGCAAATGAAGATATTGTGGTTGTCATGGATACTGATGAGATAGTTCCTCAGAGTGCTAAGGATCACTCCCCTGATCTGGCTATCGATGGCTCTGGCTCTTGTATGGAGGTTAGCACTCAAGAGGTGGAAGAAAATGGAATTGTTATCTATAAGGATGAGGAAGTTGTGGTGCTGGAGACTCAAGAGCAACCTGCTGATAGAGGTCGTCAGAAGATTGCTGAAACCATTGTGGTGGAAACTCATGACAGGTTGGAAGAATCTCAGCGCAAGAATCAAGAGCAACCTGCTGAAAGAGGTGGTCAGAAGATTGCTGAAGTCACAGAGGTGGAAACTCAAGACAAGATGGAAGAATTCCAGCACAAGAAACAGAAGACAAAACTCAAAGCTCAAGTGGCTGAAAGAGCGTGCACAAGAGTGGCTGGGACAGGGACTCCTATTCCAGTCAAGGCTGAAAGGAGGGTTGCATGGGCTGATAACCAAGGTACTAATCATAACTCTTTTGCTATTCTTCAAAATATTGATAATGATGTACTAGCTTCGGTTGCCAAAGAGTACGTGTAGTATTATGTTGAGTAATAATGAAGAGCAAATAGATGCTTGTCTAGATCTAATTAAAGCAAAGGAATTAGTTCAGGCCACGTTGGCCGAAGCTGAAAAAAAAGGAGGTCACACAAGCAATAGGAGAGGTGATCATTGAAGAAGCATCTGATGATGAATCTAATGAGGAACATGAGAGGTTGATACAAGAATTAGAGGTGTCTGATAGTATTGAAGAAGAGGTTGGTAATGTAGAGGTGATTAACTTGGGCTTAGTTGGGGCAGTTAAAAACAAACCCAAGTGAATATTCTATTCTGGAATATCAGAGGCTTTGGTAGTAAAGGGAGGAAGGCTCAATTGAAGAAGATACTTTTTGAGCACAAGGTTAACTGTGTGTGTATAAGTGAGAGCATTAAGCAAAATTTCACAGCCAGAGAGGTGACTGCTCTTGGACGTGGTAACAGTTTTACTTGGAATTGTGTACCTTCTCAAGGACATTCTGGAGGTTTACTTTTGGGTATTGATGATGAGATATTCGAGGTTTCTGACTATCAAGATTGCAATCATTTTCGGAGCATTATGCTTGCATAGAAAGAGGATATTTCAAGTGGAAACTTTTCAATGTATATGGGCCTGTCCAAGATAGTTTGAAGCATGATTTTTTGACTAATTTTGAGACAGCTATAAATGAATCAGAGGTGCCGGTTCTGGTTGGAGGTGATTTCAGTATGATTAGGAGAGTGGAAGAAAAGTCAATAGGCAATGTGAATGTGCAATGGATGAATGCTTTTAATGATTTTGTGTCAAATACTGAAATCAGAGAGCTACACCTATCTGGAGGTCAATACACATGGACTAATAAACAACTAAATCCTATCATGGTGATGTTGGACATAATATTTATGTCTGCTGACTAGGAGTCATTTTCCTCTGGACACAGCACATTCCATCACTAGGATAGGCTCTAATCACAATCCACTACTGGTAGAAGCATGTCCAGTTAGAAGTGTGAGGTCAATAATTTTCAGATTTGAGAAATCCTGGATTGAGTAGGAAGGTTTTGTGGAATGGGTCCTTGATAAGTGGCCAGGAAAACAGAATATGAGAAGCATTGATGCTTGGCAGATGATCTCTAGAAGGTTAAGGAGCAGTTTGAGAGGTTGGAACGGTAACTGGGGGAGTGATATGAAGAAAAGGAAGCAGGGCATGCTGCTTCTAATCCAATCCTTAGATTAGGAGGCTGAACATAGAGGTTTGCAGGATAGAGAATGGGATCACAGATACAACTTGGAGGATGAGCTCAATGAAATCTACAGTAAAGAAGAGGTTGATGAGGACATCCCTCCATCAGATACAATCCCTATCACCAATTCAACACCAAATTCTTTAGAAGGACCAATGACAAGGGCTCGTGCACGACATTTGAATTATGAGGTGCGTTCGTTCCTTATGTTACATACTAATATTCATGAGAATGGCATACTACTAAAGTCTTATGATGTCTTATTGCTTAGGAACATGGGATCAGCACAATTTACATCCAGTGAGCTATGGTTTACACAAAGCACAACAGCTACCCCGAGTCTTGATACACCATTTACATCAAGCCAACTGCTGCTTTCGCCAACTTCAAGCTCTACGCCAAGTTTACGCTCAAGCAACAAACGTTACATGCAAAAGACTGAGTTGACACATGACAAGTACTCCAACTTCACATAGAAATTTGTACCAACCTATGTAGTTTCGTGGTGCATGCTATTCATGGTTGAAAAGCCTATCAAGTTTACTTTCTAACCCAACAAACAGAGCATCTATTGGACTTCCCAATAAAGAGTTATGGTTGATTTACTGAAGGATGCACAGAAGCTCAGAAGACACGCGAGAACTCCAAGAGACTTCATGGAAGCTGAACCAATTGGTCTTCCACTTCCCCAAGTGGTGATGTGCGCCCATAGCCTTCTAGGAGAGTTGTTTTCTATTATAAATATCACCTTTGTACTGCTACAAAAGTTGGGTTTTGCTTAGATTGCATCTGCACACTTTGTTTGTGAGATTTCGCCTCTATACCAGACCGACTAGGCTGCTACTTTGGTTTCTGATTCCCCAAATTGCAATTTCAGATTGCCTTTACCAGTTCTTGCTTGTGTTCTCAAATCACTTGCAGGGACTAGCCTTCTTGGTGAGGTCATCCGGGTTACGTGCTCGGTTGATAATCATCGGAGCAATGGTGTTGTGATTGCAAGGGAGTCTATCTACTAGGTCGAAGTCCTTAGATCATCTACGTCGTGATGTCCACAATTCGACTTCTCATCTGCCGTCCACAATTCGACTTCTCATCTACCTACCGGAAGATCGGGCCTTAGTACCCATTAGAATTGATGTGGCAAATTAGAGGTGGTGAGAAGTGGTTATTAGAGGGTGATGCTAATACAGTGTTCTTCCATGGTGTTGTCAATGGCAAAAAGCGGTAGGGAGCCGTCGACACAAGCAAGCCAAGAGAAACCGTGCGGAGCAGATCCCGAGCTCTCTCCAGGCTTAGGAAGGACACTGAGCCGGATGGTCGTGATCGAGGGCGTGCCAGTCAATTTGATCCTGCAATTGAGAAGGAGAGAAAATAATAAGTAATTTAAGGTAGAACATGCCGGTGTTTGTTCAGACAGTTTCAAATATGTGGCTAAGTCGATGAAATAAGGCTATTGACTAGAGAGTCGATATCCAGCATGTTTACGATGTAATGTAAGCAAAACAAGCATATCGATAATTATTATTTACTCGGTTGCATGAGTCTAACTTAGCTGATGATCATGAAAACATGCGAAAGATGTAAGAGTAGACGTATAAGCATTCTTGTGAGACATACTAGCTTTTAACCTGGACAAAAACAACAAAAAATATATAAATAGCCAGTACATCCTCAACAAAGCGGGCCATCGGCTAAAACAGTCGATTCCAGTGATCTTGTCGTATAGCATACGATCACTCATCCATTGGATATGGATAAATCTACAAATCACTAGACTCAATCTATTGTACCGTCAATAGGTCGAATCGTCTAATGCAGCATTGACAGTAGGACCCTAGATCAGAGACTAGCAGTCGATAGATCTATTTATATCGCAATGAAATCGTGAAGGCATGTTATACGCGTGGGAGCTCATGCCATTGGCTAAAAAGCCGATGGAGACATAGCGGGTGGCTGACACCATACTCTTCTTAATAGATAGATCTATTGACCGACAACATCCAATCTGACACGCTATCACCAGATCAAGTCGGCTGATGCAGTATTGATAGCGGAGTCATATCGGATACTGACGATCAATGAATCTATCTTTCAATAGAACATGACTTCAAACACCCACCATGTACGATCAAGACTAAGATAGATTAGTCATCAAACAGGATCTTACGTCAAGAATTGAATTCAATCGTGATAATAACCAGCAGATGATAGATCAGAATAATAAGACCAATAAATCTCAATTTAGATCGAGCAATTGATGATATTATATTAAACAGTAAACTACTTAACACAATATCGATAATTTTGATTAATATCAACGTTTACAAGAGATTGGTCGTTTGTTGCAGCCTTATAAAGGTTGATACAAATCGATAACTAATCTATACCGTGATTTGTCAGAGATCAGTCGTCTGTCGCAGCCTTACAAATAACAATATAGATCGATAACTGACTTATACCGTGACTCGTAAGAGATCAGTCGTCTGTTGCAGCCTTGCAAGTAACAATACAAGTCGTGATGGATACTCACAAACAAGCCTAAGGTCAGGTCATCTGATGCAGCCCTGCTTGCCCAAAGAACTCGTCGAAATCTACTGTACTCCTACTCCTAAGGGGTGGCGTAAGCCGAAAAACAATGGTACTTGTTTGGTTGATGTCTATTACAATGCCGGGGTTCAATCTTTATAGCCGAGGCTTGACTATGAGTCCTGGTCGAACAAGACTAGTCACAAAAACTTGGAAAAGAAGACAAAATTCCCTAAATTATAATAACTTGGACTTCAATCTTTCCCTTCTACGAAGTCCGACGTGTTTTCTTCATGTCTCGTTGTCCTTGCCAATGGGGCCCATCCCCTTGATATGGTGGCGTCATCTTACTTGGTTGATGGCAACTTTGGTTAGCCGATCTTGCTAAATATTTTGGCTTTGCCTTGATAAATTTCAACCTTGGAGTCCTTCCTTCTCGAACCAAATTCTGGTATCAACACATGTCCTCCAATTTTGGGTTAAAATGATTTTGTTCCAAAATTACCTCTTACGACCGTTGCACGTGCTGCATTCTTTAATGGCATGTCTCAACCTTATGCACTCCTGGGAAAGGATGCTTATCTATGTCCATCGTCGGTTTCTTAGCTGGCTTAAACTTGATCTTCCCTTGCTCGATGGCATTTTGAATGTGGAAGCGAAAGATTCTACACTCGTTGGTACTATGGTTGGTAGCATTGTGAAACTTGCAGTATTTCTTCCCTTTAAGTTCTTCAATCAAAGGGATTACATGGTTAGCAGGTAATCTTAACTGCTTCTTCTCTAGCAGCAAGTCAAAGATCCTATCGGCTTTCTTAACATCGAAGTCGTAGGTTTTTTCTGACTCCTTCACCCATGGACAAGATACAGGAGCCTTGCCCCATGTCCATCGGTGATCGCAACTTCTGGATCATCTCCATCAGAGTCTACATCATAGGGATCAATCATAGCAGTAGTACCCTTCAAATACTTCTCTTTGTGAAGGGCCTGATGCTGGATCTCAAAGGCAGACACTCTCTAAACTAAATGGGCCAAGCTTTTAAACTCCTGGCCATCAAATTTCTCTCTGATTAATAGAGACATCCCTTGAAGGGCCAATTTAGCCAATTGGCCATCAGACAGATTTAATGAGTTGTAACGGCTCCTTACTTCTCTGAATCTTTGGACAAACTCAGAGCTTGACTCATTGTTCTTCTGCCTCATTCTCGTCAAGTCTATAATCTTCTTCTCACCCGTCCCACTGTAGAAATATGCATGTAACTTGTTCTCCAGATCAGCCGACCCAGTGATTGAATTTGGTTCTAGCGATGAAAACCAACTGAAGGCCGGTCTGGACAGGGACAAGGGGAAGAATCTAACTTTATGTGCCACCTTAATAGATGCCTCTCCAAGATGAATGAGATAGCGGATGATATGCTCCATGGTTGTCATCTCATCTACCTCGGTAAATTTAGAGAAATCTAAAACTCTATAGCGTGGTGGGAGTTGCACAATATCATACGAGGCCGGGTATGGGCGCTAGTAAGAGCCAACCTATCATTTAGGCTTCAGACAAAACTAGCTCTACATCATAGCAGTTATCTGGTTAACAAACTCTTCAGCATCCATGCTGGCAACTTCTTGTCTCGGCTACCCTTGAGCTTGAGCTTGAGATCCTTGTACTTGGACTTGTTGATTCTAAGCCGGAGACTGCTAGAGTTGCTGTGCATTATAACTGTAAGGGTTCTGATACCCGGGATGTGGCATAAGCTCATATGTACTAGCATTAGAAACCAGGTGGTATCCCTCTAGATAGTCGATCTGTGTATTATGAGTCGCATATCCT